AACATTGTGTCACATTTCCAATGTCCAATTGATATTGGTGCAATGTGATTTACAGAATTGTAATTTCCAAAAACAAGCAGAGTTTACTGTAAGTTGAGTACAAAAATCCGAATAATTATTCAAATTTGTCGACAGTGGGATTTGAACCCCAGACCTCTTGCATGGCAGTCTGGCAACCTAACTAATGATTTTTTTTTTATTAATTTTATATATTACATATATTACTAGTAATAATTATCAATAGTTATTCATAATAATTTTCAAAAAATTATAGCTAATTGAAAAATTAAAACACTTTGTGTAACTGTTGAGTATAGATGTCTTGCACCATATTAAACTAAGTTTTAAAAAGTTCCATATCTAATATGATATATATAATATACTAAGCTACTATATACAGTAATTAATAAGCCAAGCCTTGCAAACAATTTTTATAACAAAAAGTTTTATAAATACATGATTAAAATCACGTGTAAAGAAACAGTCACATTTATTTCTAAAATTACTGCGGAGTATCGTCAAATTGTCGTTCTAAAAAATTATCAGAGATAAGAGAAAATTCGCTTCTAAAATTGTGTATCGATAAGACATAAAATACAATAAGACATTGTAAAAATTTTTAAAAATGGACCCGGCTTCGGCAACGTTGTTGAGCCTTCTTCACAAAAACCAAGCGTCACCTTCCGAATCGACAATGGCTGGTCAAAGAAGTCCACCAACACCTTATTCACCTTCGCAACCAACTCCACCTCCGAGACAAAGCCCTCCTAATTCTTTACAGGCTTTTGGTTTTAATCAAACGTTTACTCAGCAAACTGGATACAATCCCACCGCTACTTTTTCACCAGCTACCGTACCACCACCGCCACCACCATTACCTGCACCAGAAATAATGTCACCTAGCCCTTTGACATCATTGTTTAATACCATACCTACCATACCTCCAAATTCCCTTACCTCACCCGTATCAACGACACCACATGGTGGTGTTGTAGCGAGCCAGATACAAAGTCCTTCAAATGGTGAATTCAAAAATTTATCCTCTCCAACGACAGTTGACCCAACCTTAAACGTTGATAAAGCTTCAACTGAATCTCTTAAACTTGCGTTATTTGGCCGTTCTACACCAGTTACAAGCCTTGAAGAAAGGTATAATTCTGCAATGTAATGATTATCACAAAGTATTTGAGAAATCTAAACATTATTAAAAAGCAATTAACAAAGCAATTTATCGCAGTCAGCAAGAAAATGAAATTCAATATCAACCAGAAACCTCAATGGCATCAAATGAAAATCCAGAAGATGAAGATAATTCTTTTCTTGAAGAAACATCTGAAATGGATGAACAGTTATCATCTCCTATTGAAGTTATTGATTACAACAAATTATCCAGTTTGGAATCGAATAAACCAACTTCCACCACTACAGCTATTAAACATTCACCGCCTATGACTAACAAATCGATATTCACATATAGCAATCCATTTGACCTTTTAAAAAAATCGCCACCATCTTCTCCTTCTCACCGGCATCCAGCTGTTCACCAGTGGCCATCACAATCATCTCCACCTCCACCATCACAAAAGAAAAGAGATGTATTGACAGTACAAAAAGAAGGCGGAGTTTTCTATAGGCCTCAACAACAAGTTGAACCATTCCTTCCTGGATTTTCAGCTTGGAATGTACGTGCGAGCGCTGCGCCTAAAGGTCAATCAAGGTAAAGAATATTAATTTATTCCGTACATGATTTGAAACTATCTTATAAGATCATTTATTAAACATAGAATGTCGGAACCGTTCTTTTTTATTTTGTATGCGTACTAGTATTCCAGATGGTGTAAAACTTCCCAGAGGAATTCTTCTATACGACACTGGCGAACGGAATAAAAATGTCTTGTGCTCAAAGAACTTGGAACTTACAACAATAACTCTTGTTCCAAGTGACTTGGAATATCGTCCTGGAAAATCCATTGCTG